TAGTAATTATCTAGCTAGAGTAGCCCAAGAAGGGCCTGCGGTTTGGTAATTATCTAGCTAGAGTAGCCCATAAAGGTCCTGTGGTTTAATAATTATCTAGCTAGAGTCGCCCAAGAAAGTCCTGTGGTTTGGTAATTATCTAGCTAGAGTAGTCCAAGAAGGTCATGTGGTTTGATAATTATCTAGCTAGAGTCGCCCAAGAAAGTCCTGTGGTTTAGTAATTATCTAGCTAGAGTAGTCCAAGAAGGTCCAGTGGTTTGCTAGATAATTACCAAACCGCAGGACCTTCTTGGGTTACTCTAGCTATATCATTACCAAACCGCAGGACCTTCTTGGGCGACTCTAACTAGATAATTACCAAACCACAGGACCTTCTTGGGCTACTCTAGCTAGATAATTACTATCATTACCAAACCGCAGGACCTTCTTGGGTTACTCTAGCTATATCATTACCAAACCATAGGACCTTCTTGGGCTACTCTATAGCTATATCATTACCAAACCACAGGACCTTCTTGGGCTACTCTACCTAGACATTGTTTATGTTTGGTTCTTTGTTTAAAATTACTGTGTTAATATTAAATGGTTTTCTTCGTTACCCATTCAAGCCGTTTCCAAGCATTATTAACATGTAGAATACTCAATGCTTTTTACACTATACAATCGGTGTCTTTAGGGAGATAACCCCTATATTATGTATGAACTGAAGGAGTAAAAAATAAAAAAATCAATACAATACGGGTAATCAGAAGTTAGATATGAAGTGCTAGCTGGCACAGTCGCTCTGTCTCTGGTATATATGCCGCTTTTTCAGCTATCCAGAGTATCCCAAAGTCGAAAACTGGCGAATAGCCAAATCCGAGATTTCTTATTTTCTTTCGTTCATCATCATCTTTCTTCAACAGGCCTAGCGCCCATCTAATTCTAGTAGTAACTATAATTTTATCATAAGTTGATAGAGCAAAACAGTCTTCACAATCTTCGACTACATTATTTTTTATTATTATTCAATACAAAATTTATAAAGCTTTAGAATACACTTTATAAGCTAGAAACCCACGTACTCCATCTATTAAAAAAGTCAAAAAATAAGTATAAGGAAAAAAATCTATTGTTAAATAAGAAAGCTATGTAAGACTGGCTACTGAACTTCCCCACTTTGTCTATCGAAAGTTTGGTGTTTGAATAGAATCTCAGCTTTCATCATTATACCTTTCCTTTAGTTAACTTTAAAATACTACTTTTATGAGTATTTTATGATAGAGTAACATTTTACGATAGGAAATTCCGGTTCTATTTGTTTTGCCAGTAAGGAAGCCAGTAATGTAGGGATTTTATTCTCCATGTAAAGCTGAGACAGCTATGTGATCATTAATCGATCAAGTGATATGTCAACTCTCATCCCTATCTTGTTTGGTTTCTTTTTTCAAGTTCAGTAGCCAGCCCTACATAGCTTTTTTATTTAGCTATAAATTGTTTCCTTATACTTGTAGAGAGATGGATGGATAGCGACCTTTTTCATCGGTGGTACATTTGATACCTGGTCAAGTATGACCCATTGCTTACAGCATGCCTCACTATGGACCCGTGAGTCTAGTTCGCGTCCCGTTACCGACAAAAAAAAGAGATAGATAAAAGAGAGAGAGAGAAAGATCGCGCTTCACCGTGAGTCAAACAAAAGTAAACCAAGAGTTAGTAGTGAGTGCTGTTGACTAGATGCCTTTCCTGTAGTCTACCAATTCAAAAGATAGAGACAGAAAATTAAAAGAAGACAAAGAAAAAAACGAAAGAAAGTTAAAAGAACAAGAAAAAATGTCAAATAAATTAAAATAAGACTAAGAAGCAAAAACGCACGATTAAAAAAGACCAAGAGAAGAGACAGGCACTTAAGAGAGGAGTTGAAAGAAAGAAACCTAAAAGTGAAAGAAGAATTAAGAACAAAAAATGAATTTAATTGAAAACAAAATCAAAGAAGTTACTGGAGATGCGCAGAAAGATTAGAACTATAAAATTGGGATGGTACAAAATGACATCAATGACGTATCAGTGAGGTAGAAAAAACATCAATTAAATATCTGCAAAAAATGTATTGGGAAATACAAGGTTCAAGCCAGCCACACCTTCCTCTGCATCTGCCCAAAAAATTATTCTTTTAGGTATGTTTACTATCTATGCTGTGCCCACTACGAGTTTTTAAAAGTGTGAACCCTCAGACTTACCGCTGAACCACTGGAGAGCCTTCTAAATATAAAATATAGAATAGAACTTATTTGATCTGCGCCTGTTACAACTATAGTTTTGGCATCTATGACTACAGGACCTTCTTGTGCTACTCGCTGTGCCACTGGGGGGCATGTAAAATGTTATTACAAATGCATATTTTTCATTTTCGTTATGCCATCACCATGTATGTAACTAATGCACATTAAGTGTTAAAAAATATAGGTAAAGAATAAAATAATTTGTCATGAATTAAAGTTTAAAGTGTTTAATCTTTTGGATATAAATAACAATAAAGGAAAATATTTCTTTAACAAAATCACTATCAAACATTTATCCTTTTATGACATTAAGTTCTCTTTCATTATGTATTGAATACTAGGGATGATTGTAGCAAGATACTTTGACTTTATTAAACTATATTTTAAGTGCAACTTGGTCACGTGTCTTTAGAAATTAGTCGAAAAGTTACAGTACAATGAGTATGTTATCTATAACTTTGAAAGTAGACATGATCCAGAAATAAACTTATGACGCGACTACATATATGATTAACTTTATTATAATGTTAGTCATATGCACCTATAAATTTAAACATTTTTAAAGATATATGGTGTTTTAAAACATTCTTCTTCTACACTGTACATTAGATGTTTACAAAAAACACTTATGTGGGGTAAAGGGATTCGCTGGAAAGATCTATTACTTCTCTTGAGGGCTAGACAACAGACCAATTACCAGGTGTTCATTTGTGGGTAAACGGAGTTGTATTTCTCATCAAAAGCTAGTATTAACTAGAATATGAATTTTTCTCTTGACCCCAGAGATTAAATATAAATTGCGATAAATTTCACTTCGAAAGTAAAATCTACATTAATAAAATGAGTTTGACATGACCTAAATCTTCAAATGTTTTATATTTTCGATATCAATAACAGTATGACAATTATTCTTAAACTAAATCATTATTGAATGAGTTTGACATGACCTAAATCTTCAAATGTTTTATATTTTCGATATCAATAACAATATGACAATTATTCTTAAACTAAATCATTTTTGAAAATTTCTCCTTTTATGACATTAAGTCCTCTGTCAATTAAGATACATGATTAATGTATTTCTAATAATATAGTAAAAACTTTAAAACTTTGTAATAATGTTAATAGATTTCAACAAAGATCAATTCTGTGTTATCTCAGAGTAAACTACTTTATACATCAGGTAAAAAACGTGCACTAAACAGTCGATGTCCTACTAGTTTATAGCGTTGCGATTCATAAATGTAGAATATTTTATCAAGTATTTCCATTGTACATTAACTATGTGTTATTCAAAAAACTAATTTTATCCTATATTTTATTTAAATACTTCTAAACGGAAATAAAAGTTTAGCTTTTATACTTTACTTTCACATTCTAGTTTATACATTTTACTAATTAATTAAGGAGTCATATTTCAAGATTGCAATATATTTATTTCCTACTTAATGTGTCAGTTAATAAGTATCTTATATTATAATTTCTACTTCGGGTTTTGTAGTTTTTCAATGTTTCTAAAAAAAACGCCATCTAAACAGGTTTAATTTTCTGAATATTGCAAACAAACCAAAAGTGCATTTAAGCGATAAAACTCCACAACAATAACTTTTCAAGTTTATCTCGTGCAATGCATTTATTATTTCTAAGAAATGAGCTTTTACTTAAATTATGCATTAATGCATTTCTAATAAAATCACGATAATATAGTACGAACCTTAAAACTTTGCATTACGTCATAATGTAAGCTATACATTTTTTTTAGGTAACGTAATATACAAAGTACCCTGTTAAGAAACATATATATATAAGATACATGTATATTGCGAAAATGAAGTGATTCGAGTGATTCTGTTTTCTTGTATGGGAAAAATTAAAAACTATCATTCATAAGAATAAAGACCTTGTTTCACTGATGTATAACAATTGATTAACTTTTCCGAAATTTATAAAGCAATAATGACTGTGAACGTTAAATATCAGATCTAAAGATTACCAAATCACAAAAAATGACATACACATCTATAAATACAAATCATTCATAGATTTTCTTATATTGTTCAGGTTGGTTGAATAATTCTAACACCGTAATTTTCCGAATGTAATACGCACTCTAATCTTCACGAGCAAAGAGTCAAATCACCATAAATAATACGCACCTAGACTTTTACAATAGTGCTGTCAAGTAACCGTTTGATGACAAGAATGTTAGAGTGTGCGTATAATCTCTAATTCAGCGTTCGCTTTATTTTCGCAATCACGACCGACAAATAAACGTTGTTAAAATGTTAGAATATTCGTAAAATCTCTAAAAGTGAGTTCGCTTTAGTGCTTGCTGTCTTTCAATTGCGGCCGGCAAATAAACGTTCCCAAAATCATTTACAGCCGGTAGAGAAATAGTGCCAACTATTCGTGGATTCGGACTCAGAATTTGAAGGTTTCATGGAAAACAATTTGTAGTTTTGAATATCAAACGTAATGTAGCCGTAACTAGTTTTGTATTTCCAAACATTTTTAAATGTGCATTTAAATATATCTTAAAATTTACAAGACTTAGCTTTTTGATCATTTTATCTCAAAAATCATATTTAAAGATACTGAAAATGAATGAAAACGGGAGATAATTCTCATTTATACCTCGGAAACAAAGAAAATTAATAAGATACATCATCGAAACGCAACGGTCTTAGGGAGATAATTCTCATTTATACCTTAGAAACAAAGAAAATTAATAAGATACATCATCGAAACGCAACGGTCTTAGGGAGATAATTCTCATTTATACCTTAGAAACAAAGAAAATTAATAAGATATATCATCGAAACGCAACGGTCCTAGTAAGTGGGCATTATCGTTCACAAAGCTTGTTGGAAAAGGGGGGTTTGGACTGACTGTAAAAACAACACAATGAACGAAAAACAATTTAAATTTGTTACCATATATTATACACACCCTAACTTGTAGATAAATTCTTAGTGAAACTATGCCTATTATATTTGGAAAATTAAGGTATGTGTCGAGTAATTAAGGCATATTTCTTTTTGTGGTAGACCAAACAACTTTCGGCAAAGATTTTTTTTCTCTAGTTAAAAGTTTTATAATATTAGAAAAGTCGTATTGGGTTATCTTGCTCTCGTATCTAGTGAAACAATTATCTATAAACATTATTCGTGAAATGAACCTTTGAAACAGGGTGTGAAAGTGTTAAAAAAGAGAAATTTAAGTGGTGATATACTGACAAATAAAAGATGCCAGATTATCACAATGAAAATCATTCCACTTGTATCCCATTTCTTTTAGCATCTCCACACAGTACTGAATACCACCACTGTTATTTGGTTGATCTTCTCCCCAAAGTTGCAGGTCCTCATCAAGAGCACTGCCATCGATGTAGACTGTAATATTGTTCTGACGACGTAGACCAATCCAATAACGTTCCTTTTTGTGAGAAGTTAGCAAATGTAGAAGTTCCTGGTGGTGTTTGTGACTTCGAGGCATTGCCAAGACACCCCCTTCTGCTTCGCATGTTGCTTGTGCTTCAGCAAATTTCTTAAGATTGCTAAAGACTTTGTATTTGGCTAAAAGTTAGGAAATTTAATATTAGTGATCAGCCTAAGTAGACATACATATAGCACGAAAATAATTGAAAACGAAAGGTAGTCACACGACATCTATTGATCACTAAATGGTTCCCAAGTCATTTTACCAAATTAATTATCCATTATACATGTATATAATATAACAACAAAGAGGCATGTGCATAACATTAAATTTTTATTTCAACGGATAGAGATTTCGTAACACTAATGTTTCTCTTCAACCAACAACGATCCAATTTTTCAATTCTTGGATTTAACATTAATTTCTGTTGCAGTGAAATTTCTAATCAAAACTTACGTTACCCAAGCATTAAAAACGCGAGTCGCTGAATACGAACTTTAATGTTATGAAATAGTTATCTATTTAAATACAAAGTTAATCTTGGGTTCGTGCCTCTTTATTTTGTCATAGTATTAATACGCTTAAGTAAACTTCAAAATAAATTTTATATCTTACTATATATTTGGCATTTATTTATCTCTTTCATGGCTTTTCTTTAACCTATCAACTATAATCATTCTCATTTTCTATATTATGTTTATCTGACCATTATTAATCGTAATGTTATAAGGTCTCTCTTGTTTGACGGTTTTATCTGGATTATTCAATAAAAAGAATAATTCAAAAGTCCAGTCCTGTTTATCATGACAAAAGTATTTTATTTCCTCGACTACAAGTTCTAATAGTTAGCTTCCTAACGTTCACTGATAGTTCTAAGTTCATAGTAGACACTAAATACAACAGTTTCACTTTATTGCTATTTTGTTGTGCTCATCATATGGCGTATCTCTTATTATTGGCTGATCATGGCCCAGCGGTTAGCGTGCTTAACTGTGGAGCTAAGTTCTGTGGTTCGCGTACTGTTACTACCGAAATAAAATTGCATTCTGTAATTTGGGGCGGTGGATGCATTATTACAGTGCAAGTCAATTGCACTACTTAGTCTCACAACTGTAGTCCAAGAGTTGACACTGGGCAGTGTTGACTACCTACCGTTTCTCTGGTCTATCACTTTAAAATTAGGGATGGCTAGTGCAGATTGCCCAAATGTAGCTTTATTTGAAATCCAACAAACAAACAAACACATTTCTTATTACTTCGCCAATGAACAAACTTAACATTCCAAAACAGAGCTAACTAACTGACTAACAAACTCAATCAAAGAGTAATGTCATATTTCAGACTTTCATAATTTTAGTTTTTTTTTAAATTATTCTGCCGTATTTCGGCTAATTTACATGGAATTTGGTGCAAAGATACTTTTTTACAATTCCCATACATACACATACAAAAATGTAGGATATGTCGATTTTTTAGTAATTTTAGAGGGGTCCAAAGATTAAATAAATCAATACTTTTAGAAGTTTTGGTCAATTACTTAGCCACATTTCGACCAATTTATGTGGGAGTTAATATAAACATACTCTTTGTAGGTTCGAATTTTTGTCTTTTTATCGAAATCACCCAAAAACTGATATATCACAGACGTAGATTATACGGGATATATATCTTATCGAAATCACCCAAAACTGATATATCACAGACGTAGATTATACGGGATATGTATCTATGACGTCGCTAGGCAGATTCATCTCTTTAATGCTGAATTTTATCAAGAACTGAAAGACATCAAACTCAAAAACTTCGTGCTTTAGGTTTCTTGATTAGAGTGCTCGACTCGCAATCTCAGGGTCGCGTGATCGAATCCCCATCACCGAACAAGCACATCTTATCAGCCGTGGGAGCGTTATAATGTTATGGTCAACCCCACTATTCGTTGGTAAAAGAGTAGCCCAAGAGGTGGCGTCTAGCTGCTTTCCCACTAGTCTATCACTAATAAATTAGTGAAGACTAGCGCAGATTGACTTCGTGTAGCTTTGCGCGAAATTCATATCAAAACCAAGACTTTAGCCTAATTTTACAATCAAGATTTCACCCTAACCTTGACAACGAAGATAACACACATAATTAAGTAGTCACCATTCCACCAGATCTCCATTTAACTCCTACTGTTTTATCAAAAGGACTCAGTTTTGCTCCAACTAGAAGTGAAGCTGATGAATTTGTGTTCATTGAAAACGTTGAACACTACTTCAGAAGGATTCGCCTGCAGGTTCATTTCAAAAAGACAAGTACCTCATACACTCCATAGTGATCAAATCTCTTCAGATACAAAAGTTTACATCCAGTCTGATTCTCCAACAACTTCTGCTATTAATAACCTTCACGTTGGTCCAATTAATATGAAATAAAGTAAATGGATGCCAGTACTGGAAAAATGTCTTGCAGTTGATGACTTCATTTCAACTTATCGCAAACAAATAAAGAATATCGACTGCTCTATTTCACCAACGTCAGACAACCTATCTGAAGAGAAACATCACGCCATCTCTAACTTAAAATCAAGATTTGACATTGCGGTAAAACTTGCCGACAAAGGAGGCGCTACTGAATTCTACATGGCTGTAGTTGAAATACACTTATCAAATACCTGATTTTAACAACCTGTTACTGATGACAATTCTCCCAGACTTGTTGTTCTAAGATCTACACCAACAGACCGTTATTTACACGAATGCGAAGAACAATGTCTTATTTATACTCCAGGTACATTTTTTCACTTGGTTGAAACGAGAAATTTTCTTTTTTGTAACTATTTTTGACATCCTCCGATTTTTCTCAGTATTACCCCTCACATATTATCTTTCTCTTTCTTTACACCTTTTACTTCTGCTTCTTCTTTTCACTTGCGTAAATTATTTACAACATTTGATTCGCCAGTAGTAGTTACATCACATTTTGAACCATGTTTCACACGTTCTCCTATTGTTACCTTTTTAGTGATATTCGAATGTGCTCTGTATATTCGACTTTAAGTATCTAGACCCGAAACATTTTGTCAAATTAAAGTTTTCGTAGATTTTATTACCATAGTATCTAGTGCTTTTTCTTCTTTCTAATGATTACTATATCACATAATTTTATCTTAGCTGATGAAAAGGAAGAGACTGGTAGTGTGTATGTGGATTTTGTGAGAAGTTAGCGAAGAAGTAAAGTGTTGCTCTGATGACTAGTCAAGATGCCACCAACAACTGCCTAATCAGGCCAGCCAGTTGACTGAAAAAATCAATGATTCAAACCTATCTAGTAATTAAACAGTTAGGAAAATCTATTGGTTGAAAAATCAAAAGATGAAAGAGAATTGTGGCCTTTACTTTCTGGCTATTGAGCAATATTTGGTAACAAGATGTTGTGAAATGTGTACGATCTACCTAGTTGAATTATAGTAGAATCTCTGTGGAACAGACAAGGCAAAAAGTCACATAGCTAGGAAAGTGGAGTTGTCAAATAAGATCCTAGAGAAATTGATGATTGCTTGAATTTTCATTGAAGACTGATAAACCAATGTGACGATATGCCGAAAAGACTTTACAATCGTCACTCCTCGTGCACTGAAGTTAAATTTGAGGGGGAATGTTGGTAGTTATAAGCTGGTAAAAACTTTCTGGGAGAATTCACGATCTTGCATATAACTCGACGCAATTTTGTGTTATGTTGCCATGCAAAGTTAGTCATTTTGGCCTGGTAATTCTGTAGTAGTATATCTGAAGTGCAATAAGGGAGATGTGCTCTAATGCTATAACACAGTATAATAAATTACATTGGACTGGAAAAGTCAAACAAAAAGATTTTAATCTGAGTTATTTTTTTCGTTTCTATCTGGTAAAGTATTTTTATGAATCATAAATGAGACAAATTTTGTGATTCGGGCTTAGTGCTATGTTAAAATGGTGAATTCATGAAGTTAGGAAAACGGGTAATTTCAAAAAATCAACGTAACGCAAAAATACGAAACCCTATAGTCCAAGCGCTTTCGAAAGGTGGACATTTCTTCTTCAGGGTCAAACTGGTGTAAGCTCTGTTTTCTTAAAGCAAGTAACATTATATACAGTTTGTTTCTAAACCGGAATATTTGTAAGCATGTGATTTCTCACTAAGAAAAAGACATGAGTTGTTTGAAATTTTACAACCACACCAGATGAAAAACATGACGGACCATTGTTTTCACAGGAGTTAGTGAAGGAATATCTTCAATTGAAATATTTGTAAATTATGTGACTCATCAGTCATTAAAATGAAAGAAAGCATAGTGTTTCTACTGTTTTTGAGTAGTTTTGATTTAGAAGTATGTTTTATTTGTATAACCAAACAATTTCGGAACTTTACAGATGTTGAATATTTTTCCCCTATACTATATCTAAACAAGATAGTTATTATACATAAAGTTTGTGCTATTTGTAGTTTTATAAACATGTTTTCTATGTTAGCTATACGACCTATTCCCCAGATGTATTTAACAGTGCCCCAAATTTATCTTAAATCAACTATAATATAATGCTTTGTACTTAAGTGTTTAATTATTTTGAGTAGTAGCTGCTTCTTGGGGATCAAATCCTGAATTTTTTGGTAACCAGCGATGCCCCTGCTACAGGGATATAATTTTTGACTTATTTGCGACATAAAACTTAATTTTACTTATCTATCTGAATTAATTTCATTTTGTGACAGAAGGCATGTTTGAGCTACGAACAGAAAGTTTACGAAACATTCGAGGCTAGAAGCTTTGTTTGTAAAGTACTTGTCTAATTTCAGTTACCATTGTCAGGTTTTTGTTGGCAGTTTTATTCCTTCCTGTGCTCTGTTTCTATAACAACCAGACAATGGTGGAAGAACTCGTGAGTTTGCTGTACTCGCTCGCTGCTGCCACCGTTGTTAAAGTAGCTGTTTGTATATGTACCTTGTTCTATAAGCAGCTTTGTGGATTGCACATTCACTGATGTTTGGAACAAATGTGTTTTTACAGTATAGTGATGAGTAGATTCGCCATGAATACTGAGAGACACAGAACATATGACACCTTCCATCAGGACAATCCTGATTTGGTCTTGGCCTGATTGATGCTGAACTTAAGGCCTATCACAAGTTGAGTTGTCTTTGAGTTTTAAATACTGCTTTGCTAATGTAGTCATAAGTCTTGTAAGCTGCTTAATAGAATATTGCATTCAAAAGATGTCTCCTATGAACTGTCCAATGTGCCTGGAGACTAGCTGAACACATCACTGTTGCATCACAAGTAGGAAGAAACATCATAAGTGACATCCATTGATACACTTTTAAAATGTCTACCTTATCATCTGCTAACGTTTGGTTTATTACTTACCATGGTTGAAATGGGTAATGGTGAAGCAGGGCTCAATTCCAGAGAATGATCCTGAGAAAACCATCGCATTCAAAGAGACACCCCGATTCTTTAGATCCCCATGCCAACAGCAAGACCTTCTGCAGAATTTTGTAAATATAGTAGGTATTCTTTTAAATAATGTCAACTGTTTATTATCATGATTATTATATATGTTAATTTTATTTATATTTTCTTTGTTTTGCTAGTTTGATTTAAAGCAAAGCCACATTGGGCTATCTGCTGTGTCCAGCACGCGGAAGTGAACCCCGGATTTTAGTGTTTAAGTCCGTAAAGTTACCGCTGTACCACCAGGGGACAATATGTTTTCATTTACAATTTTAGTTTCTACCTTCCTTATATTCCTTTGTATATTTTTAACATTATATTGTAATGTGTAACTGGCTGTTTGTTATAACTTTATTTCATGAGAGTGAACTTTTGACCTTTTTTATACTGTAATTTTGAGTTGATTGATTTTATTTCACTTGAATTGGCTGTTGGTGCTTTTGTATTACTTTGTTGTTTTAATATAAGTGTTCTAGTATTATGTATGTAATTCAAGAGAAATAACTTACTTTTAACATTTTTGAATATGCCTTTACCATTTAATTTTAAAGTTTGGGTCTAGAAGACTCTGAGAATGAGGAAATGTGATTATAGTACTTTATCACATTTTACCTTTCCATAACTAGTGTAAATGAAAAAAGTAAGACATATTTAGGCTGTTTTTCAAATTTTCGTGCAGGTTATGCAAGTAATGGCATCTTTCCAGTAAACTATACGAATGAAAGTTGTAAGCATACCATGACCCTCTTGCTTAGGCAAAGGTTTCGTACTATAACAACATCCCATGAAAGCTTGTACCAGCTTAATCCTATGTCTGTGTCTACTCTTTGGGGTAGAGGAAGCCCAGTTCGAGAGGTGACTCAGATACTTGTGCACGTTACTATGAGTTGCGAGTTTATTTACCGTTTATATGTTTATTTGAATTAATTGTTGATGTAGATAATATAGGGATTTTGGAATACCACGCTAGAACCCTTGTCTGGCTTGAATGTGTGATATTCCATTATGCTTGCATTGGTACTTGTTTCTTGGATGGATGGATTTAAGAAGCATTGTCTCCAAGAACAGCAGCAGTTGCAGTCAATCTAGGAACAAAGAGGCTGGCCAGTGTATCAAAGACACACAATACTTGACCGTCAGGTAATATCGAGGTGGAAAAACATTGTTCAGCAGTAAAAATATGCGAAAGAAGTTTTAAAAACTTTGTGTACAAATTAACTGGTGGAGCAAATGTCACAACTGCTCCACTGGTTCCGTATCTATATATTTTGAATCTAATATTATCATAATTTTTAGTACTTCAAATACTTACGACAGTGAGATGAACATTTCCCAAATTCTCTGCAGGACTTCGAATTAAAGTACTCCATCTGTACATTAAGAGAAAAAAATAATAAATAATTGTTTCAATATCCCAACACCTACAGTACACTACAGATTTAAATGTACACAAATAGTTTTACGAGCATTCAAACGTTTTACTTTATCTATATTTTTAACGTTATGTTATCTAATAAAATAAAAGGAACGAAGGTAAACCAAAATATTATGATTTATAAAGTTTACTGTCGTACATTTTGTGTCGTATGTTGATAACAATTGTTTGTTTACCTAAACAACAACTTATACACACAAAGAGCTAAACGACCAGGTCTGATACCAATATGGTCCAGGTATAACTATCCCTACTTCTGAACTGGGGACCAAAAGGAAGACAATCATTCGATAGCACACACCCACACACGTCATCATCATCATCCCTGTAGCAAATACTATTAATTGAATAATGGAATTAACTGCCACTCTTATAATGCACCTGCAGCTGAAAGTACGAAGCGCCTTTGATAGCACCACGTCTGTAACTGGGAGCCCTCAGGTCCTATGTCCGATACGCTAACAACCAAGCCAAACTCTGGACCTTTGTCAAAAGATAATAACATTCAGATTTTGGAATTGCTGATTTTATGTGCCTCAGTATATTTTGTTTCTTGAAACGAATAAATTTATAATTATCTATCTGATTTTTAAAAACAAACAAACATAATTTCATATTAAATTAAAGTCGTTTATTGTGGTATACCACCCCTAGTGGTATTAATGGTTTTAAGTTATTAATTATAGTTTATTTACTAAAGTATTTTTCTGTAGAATAATTGGTAAGAAAACTTTAAGAGATATGACGTTAACTTCAATACGTGACACCATCTGTTGTTACACAATGTTTTAAAGTTCAAATGTGACATCGCTTTTTAGTGTGGACAATGTTTAGTAAAGCAATCATAACAAAGTACATATAAAAGTTTAAATACGTAGAGAGTCCTCTAGTTGGACAACGGAAAATTACAGACTTATAACCCCAAAATCTGGGGTTCAATTTCCCGCAGTGGAAACAGTTCAATGTGGCTTTGCTCTAAAACAAGCTAACAAATGTTTGTATTTAAATGTAATTTCAAAATCAACTGTGTAAACAGGTAAACAAGTAAATTATATTAATGTAACGGTTTGTTTGTTTTAGAATTTTTGTGCAAAGCTACACAAAGCCGCCCCTAATTTCGAATTGATAGACTAGAAATAAAATAGCTAGTTAATAACACCCATCTCCAGTTCTTGGGCGACTCCTCTCTGATGGATATGAACTTGACTGTCACTTTTACAACGCACCCACGGCTCCAAAGTGTGGAGATGTTTTTTTGTTTTTTTTACAGCAACATGATGCGAACCACAGTCAGAATATGCTAATCACTGGGCTACCTCTGGTCCGTCAACGTTTAGTAGTTTTGTTTGCGTTTTAGGCTAGTTGTAATTATATTCTTTCATAAATATATTGAAAGTTAATGTAGTGGCTAATCGTTTGATTTTTTTAATTCACTACTATAATGAGTATTCTAAATAATTGTTTTAAAAGGTTTCATTTAATTAGTGAACACAAATAATTCTCCCCCTACAAATCCATAGTTTTTTGTTATACAAGTTTCAATTTCAATTATTATGCCCAACGAGATAACCATTTTACTAATGCTTTCTTAAGGTGTAAAACATGAATTCGGTATAACTAGTAACAATTTGGATATAAATTTGTTTATATTGTTGGTTATTATAAAAATGTACGTAATTCTTCAATAATTTATAAATATGATATAAACTAGAACTTAAAAAGCTTATATTTTCTCCTTATAGGTTAAATGGCGAAGTTATGTGTTTAAGTTGTGATAACGGGCGAGTTTATGCGATTTATAAAAGAGAAAAGCAACAACTATGTTTTGAACAACTTTCTATATGACTGTGAATGTATCGTGACAAAATTAAGTTTAGAAATCTAATAGTTAGCAATCTTAACAACTGTTAACAAAGATAACAATTATTCAATATTGTGATGTTTTGTCATCGGGTTTTAAAACTACTTGTTTGTTTTTTGTTTTTTTTTAATTTCTCGCAAAGCTACACGAGGGCTATCTACGCTAGCCGTTCCTAATTTAGCAGTGTAAGACTAGAGGGAAGATAGCTAGTCATCATCACCAACCGCCAACTCTTGGGCTACTCTTTTAACAACGAATAGTGGGATTGACCGTCATGTTATAACGCCCTCACGGCTGAAAGGGCGAGCATGTTTGGTGGGACGGGAATTCGAACCCGCGACCCTCAGATTGCGAGTCGAGCGCACTAACCACCTGGCCATGCCGGGCTTAAAACTACTTGGATGCACTCTTTTAATTACAAAAAGGATACTACATGTACTTTTAGTCAGGCTTAGAACGCAATGGTTTACCTAAAGTTCTGTAAAGAAAGTTGGGTTTTGTTGGCCAAGTTAGATATTTGTTTTATTTGTTAGTCTTTTGTATACAAATAATGTTTTTAATTAAAATGTTTAGATATTTTCGTTGGAAAGACGTCAGAAATTCACTAGAAGATACAATATATGTCGGATTATAAACTGAATTATTGAATGTTAATATTCTGATAAGGAAACACACCGTGAGAAAACATTCATTTATAGGTTTGAGGAGGGTTCATAATTCCTACACAAACACTGCCATCTTCATCTGAATTGTCATCATTAGTATCAATGGAAATTGTTTGCTGGAAGTAGTCAAGGTGCTCTCCATTAATGCCATCAAGTGTTCTTCGTGTTGAACCACTGTATTCTCAAAGTTTGAGATTTCATCCACAGTCACCAATTCGCTTTGGATGTTCAGAACTGCATGAAAAGCGTCTTCTATACCAGTGTCTTCCTTAATTTCTTCTTCATTTTCAAGCGTTTTGTAGATACCGGTACGCCAAAACATTTCACCATTGTTTCTGAAGATACTTTATTCCATGTGCTGTTTATCCAACGAATTAACTCTAGCATTGTCATAGATTTCTCTAATTCTGTTGTAGTTTTGCTACATTTGATACAAGACTCTTCGACATCATCTTCCGGTAACGAAGTTTCACAGCTTGTATAATGCATTGGTCGAGTGATTGAATACCAAATTTGGAGGATGGAATTTACCAAAGACTTGGCTCAATTCCCTTGTGCATTGTCTAGTAAAATCAGAATTTTTCTCTTTTCATTTTCTGATGTGAACTATTCTTCAAAAATAATTGAAGTCATCCATACTTTCTTGTTCGAACACCATGATACAGGGAGGTGTCGTACATCAAAGCATTTTTCTTGAATAATGAAAGTCGTGCAGCGTTTCCAGTCACGAAAGGTTTTTAATTCTTTCCGGAGGCACTACAGAAAAATATTACGCTTAGCCTCTCTTTTGCAAATATATCTTCTTTGCAAGTTTCCACCTTTTTGACCAAACTTTTGGTTGGAAGCTGACTATAAACCAGCCTAGTTTCATCTGCATTGAACTAGTTTTTGGGAAGATATTTCTTTACAATATTCACTAATTTCAGCTTCCAATTTTCAGTTGCATTTAAGTCCATATCTGAAGCTTCATTACACAGAGATCGAAATTTCATATTAGTCCTAAACCTGAATGAGTCTAACCATCCGCTGCTAGTCTGAAACTCTTCAATGTTTAATCTTTAGCCTTTTAGCAATTTATTTTGCCTTTGTTTTGAACATTGGTTCAGAGATCAGAATATTTATTGCGCGGCATTTTTGAAAATATTCTAGAACAAGAATATTCATGGTTCATTTTCCGTCTTTAGTAATTTTCGTTTTCTGTCGTTATTACAGTTGTTTTCTCAGGCCTATAGTATTGCGTTTATGTTTCCAGTTGTAGAGTTTGCAACGCTAAATTTTTCAGCTAGAGAACGCTGACTTGCACCTTTATTAGTCAAGTCCAAAACATCTTTCTTATGTTTAATGTTTAATTCATTTAGCTTCTTCCGCTTTGTATCCATTGTCACACAGAATTTAAACAAATTCTTAAATAGCACTATTGCACAACCGAGTAGTGCTGTTGCGAAACTGAAATTGCCAATAAAATGCTTGACGTTTGCTATTGTATTGATTATAGCCAATAGAAAGACAAGGTTTTAATTTACCGAATGACGTATAAAGAATAAACTATCTTACAGGAACATTTCACTTACATTTCATCAGTCGAGTTCGCATCGACCACCTATGAAATTATTTTAAGGGACTTATACCTTAGTTAGAAAACCAGCTAAGTTATGATAGCTACAGTGCGTTGTTTCATTAAAAGCTATAGTATATAAACGATGTTTAAGTGATGGTTAAAAATTCGGTCATATTGACCGACCTCATATGGAGGGTGTTGATAAGATATTTTACGTATATTCTCATACTCCACAACAAAATCGACAAACGGTGTCATGTTGAATGGCCAAATTAAAGAGGGTTGACTAGGTATAAAATAATAAAATAAGTATTGTTAGGTGGCCAAGACTCAAGTTAGGCAAGTGGCCAATTTTTGTTTGAAGTTAAGCACAAAGCAACACAATGGGCTATCTGTGCTCTTCTCACTACGAGTATCGAAACCCGGATTCTAGCGTTGTAAGTCCGCAGACATACAGCTGTGCCACTGAGGGGAGTGGTGGCCAAGTTATAAAGTGTTTGCTTTGTATAAAGTAATATGATTTTGACAGTTCCATGAAAATGCGGTTAACTTAGGTAAGTGGCCTACTTACAGAGGTGGCTGGCCTGATGGCTAGAGCGCTCGATTCGCAATGTGCGATAGCAGGTTTGATTGCCTGTCACCTAACATGCTCGCCCTTTTAGCCGTGAGGGCGTACAATGTGATCGTCAATCCCACTAAAGTAAAATAATAGCTCAAGCGCTGGTGGTGGGTTTTGTTGACTACCTGCCTTCCCGTAGTCTATCACTGCTAAATAAGGAAAGCTAACATAGATAGCCCTCGAGTAGCTTTGCGCAAAATTCAAAACAAACCAAATCCAACAAAAGTGTCAAATTTCACATGATTCACTGTAATGCCTCCCAGTGGTTCAGTAGTAAGTCTGAAGATTTATAACGCTAAAAACCGGGTTTTGATACCAATGGCGGACACAGTACCGATATCCCATTGTGTAGCTTTGTGCTTAACTACAAAGAAAAACACAAAAATTCACTGTAATTTAAATTTAATCTTAGACTTACGGCCTTTCTATTAGCCCTTTAATTAATGAATAAAAACCCTATAACCCGAGCGTTTTCGAAGGTGGACCTTTCTCTTCAAGGGCAAACTGTAATTTTAACTGTAACTTTAATTAAGATACTTAACCGATCACTAGGACCCGATCCTTTAAAAAAATTACTAATTGTATGTATCTTTAAGTACACAGTTTAGTAAGATGAACGTGAAACATTCACTGAAAATTGGAAATTTTTCGCACATACACATTTTTAGGTCTGTGTGTTGTTTTAACAATAAATTGTTGCTCATAGAATGTGCCTGAAATTCTCTCGCTGTAGCTACCTGTTAGTGTCACATATTCATTATCTTAGGAATGATTACTGCAAAGTGAAACACACTATGGAAAGGTGGAAGTTTTTTAAAAGAAAGAAAAATAATAATTCTTGTGTAAACGATGTTATTACCACTTGAAGTTAGCTTTCTTACAGAAAGCTGGTGTTCCTTTAAAAAGCTAAGTACGGGGTGAAACAGGAATTACCAGCCAATAATAGATGAACATTAGATGACTAACATGTAGAATTCGATGACGAGGAACCCACTTTGAGATTAATAATACTTGGAGACGGCTTGAATGGGTAATAAAAAAATCTTAATATAAGTTTAACATAACAAAAAATGTACAATGTTTCGACAAGGTTTTGTCATCATCAAGTACAAGTAATTTACACTGACACAGATATATATACGAGTATATACAGAATTGAACAAAGAGGTCACATGACCGGATATTGTTGCACGACTTAGAAAAGATATCTTGGCACCCCAGGGTGTTGATTTTAGAGTAGGGTTGTTTTGTTCAATTAAGATGGATTCTTTGATTTTCGTTTATAAGAGTGGTTGTTAAGTTCATACAAAAATCCGGGTGAAGCGTTTGTGGCGGCGGGTGCTTCTGGCCGGCTGCCAGTAGTTGTAAATTAAGGAAGAGTACACCTACCTGCTTCCCAGGAGTCCATGATTCATCTGCTCAGACCACTTACGCATAAGATGTCGTTCAGGTTACAAATTCCAATTCCCCGAAAATTGAAAAGTTGAAGTTTTTCAAACATTCTCCATTTACACAATGACGATTCTTAACACGTACAAGTAATTAGGTTTTCCCACGCTATGAATGATAGAAACAAGTTGCTGTAATTTACCTGATCACGTGATTGCTGGGACAAATTAGCTTACGTAGTAACACTGCACTGCTATTCCCTTTCACCCGTGGGGGCGTTATAAGTGACAGTCAATCCCACTATTTGTGGGTAAAAGTTGATTGATTGATTGGAATTAAGCACAAAGCTACACAAAGGGCTATCTGTGCTGTGCCCGCCACGGGTATCGAAACCCGGTTTCTAGCGTTGTAATTCCGCAGACATACCCCTTCTAACCTGAAAGTCCGGCATTAAACCTCGGACATCGTCCCCCAGTGGCACAGCGGAATATCTGCGGACTTAAACACTAGAAACCGGCAAACCAGCCCAAGCTCCCCAGTGGCACAGCGGTATGTCTGCGGACTTACAACGCTAGAAACCTGGTTTCGATACTCGTGGTGGGCAGAGCACAGATAGCTTTGTACTTAATTGCAAACAAACAAACGAAGCCCGATACGCTGACTACGGGGATTCAATTTCCAGGTCATAAGTGTTTGTGGGTGGGTAGGTTTTAACACGATTTAGACAAGGCCATTTTGTTATACCAGGGGAAAGAAGAGATATCGTTAGATATTAATATTCGTAGCTATCCTTATTTTGTTTTCACTGTTGCCTGCGTCGTGTACGTATTCCATACACCTCAATTATGTTGGCCCAAAACAATGAGGACACAAGATCTTGTGTCAGCATTTGTTTGAAACGTAAACTTTAAATTTTTAACACCAAACCTTAAATCGTCAAACACGCACATCATCGTTGGTTATTTTTTCTTTTCTTCTTGTTCTGACATTGTTCTTGTTTTTCCCATTTCCACTTCACATGTGTGTATATTCCTTATAAGTATCGTAGAAGATAATGTCCTAGTTTCACATCTATTGTAAGTAGTCCTTTAGCGGTGGGTTTATCTCTGGCGCGTGTGTAACAAATCGTATTAACGTTATATCGATAGGTTTTTAGTCTTCACTATGGCATGATTGTTTGTTTTTGAATTTCGCGCAAAGCTACACGAGGGCTATCTGCGCTAGAAACTGTCCGACGTTGTACGTGGGGATAACTAGAAACAGTCCGACGTTATACGTGGGGATAACTAGAAACTGTCCGACGTTGTACGTGGGGATAACTAAAACTGTCCGATGTTGTACGTGGGGATAACTAAAAACTGTCCGACGTTGTACGCGGG